GCCCCCCCCCCCCCCCCCCCCCACGTTCTTGCCCCGAATGCTACAGCAGTACGCCCTCTCTTAAAGCCCGGAACTTATTTCGACCCCGCTTCTTTCGCGCGGCGATATCAAACGACACCAGAAAATGGCGCCCCGACAGCACAACCAGCAACAGCGGTGGCGGTGGGCATCCGTTCCCTCCGCGTCCCTCCTTCTCTCCCTCGTCCTCGTCGTCACCCTCTCGCCCTTGCTAGCGAGGGCCACGAGCTCGTCCTCCTTCTCCTCCTTCTGTATGGAGGAGACCCAGGTGTGACCTTGTGGTGTTGCTGCGATATTTTTCTTTCTTTCGTAGCGAAAGAGACGGCGTTGTGGCGCGAATGAGGAAGTGCCATACCTCCAGCAGTGTTTCCGTCGGTCTGATTGTTCACCTCGAGATTTGACTTCAGGGGAAACCTCCGGCAGGCTTGGAATGTTGGTTGACTCCCCGGCAGATTAGTAGCAAGCAACCGAGGGTAGCAGCAGTAGGTTCTTATCTTGGATTGGACCGTTTGTCGAGCGGGGGTTGCTCAGGTCTGGCAAACATATGTGGCCACTGCTGCTGTACCAAAAGGTGGAAAAATATCTGTCAAGACTGACAAAGACGCGTTTGAGTGACCGAAGTGACTGCTGTGATCGTGCAAGCATTGGGTGATGATGATTGCGTACAATGTGTGTACTTCTTGCACCACAGGCGTGCGAGGCAGACGAAGAGTGCTACGCTTGTCTCCTTAGCTGGCCGGCCACCGATGCGACGACGTGCACCGACTATTCCCTTGAGGTACAGTACAGTCGTGGCTTCCGATATAGGAGGTTCGAAGTTGGTTGTCACCGACTGGACCCGCTATGGTATACCTGTAGTAGTTGGGTACTGTACCCTTGTACTCCAGTACATGAGGGGGCTCCGATGTATTTGGGTCGAGGGCCTGTGTGACACAACCCTTTTCAATCGGAGCCGCGGCTGTTCAATGCGTATGCAGAAGGCAAAACAACGCAATGGCAACAACAACTTCCCTTCGGTGACGAGTGCGTCCCTCCTTCCTCTTTGGGGTAACACTCGTATACAAGCATCCGTCTACGTTCATTCGCCTCTGCTTTAACCGCTTGGCATCTTCTACTGCTACAAGACGATACAACAACACTAGTGATACGCATTGATCTATGGCGGTTCGGAGTTGTGATGACCCCCCCTCCAACAATTTTGACAACTTTGACACGAAGAGGGAAAACATCGGAAGTTGGGTTTTCTTATAATATCAAACCCACGAAAGATATCAAAAAGCCACGTCGAGCAATTTTTACCCATGGTGTCTTGTTCTTAATTAGCGCGTAGTCCGCCCGGCGTTTTTTTCTTTCTTTTTAGTTGTCTCGCCGACGAAGTTATAAGCCATGTGAACAATAACCCGAAATTTGCACGGAAGCATTTTAGTTTGGAAGAATACCCGACAACCGCCAAAAGAACGAAAACGACGTTCAGCCTTTCTTTTTTGCGGATACAGAACTGTTCGGCAAGGCATCAGAGGGGGCCGCACGTGGGATTTTCTCCCAGGAATTCCAAGGCATTGGATCAGTAGCGTTCCGTGCGGCGCTTTCTTTGGACGGGGGAAGGTCCATGCAAGACCGGAAGAACATGCGAAGCTTGTGTCGGAACTGCTGTGCCGGCGCGGGGACCTATCCCCACCGTGCCGCCGCTTTTCCTCGAGCTGTTGCCGTATCCCCAGCGTAAACCTATACGGCTTACTCGGGCTTGTCGCTGAACTGCTGTACCGGGCGTTCGGGTAGGCGCCCGGTCAAAAGCGAGGCGGGCGGAGTACATGGGCGGCGTAAAGCCAACCGCGATTGTCTTCCAGATTCGGTGTGGTGCAAAAGTATGCCGTGCAGAGCGTCTCATCGTCACTTTTTGGGACATCGCCGAAGATGATGCAATGTGCTACTGTAGCCAGATGTACCGGGGGGTGCCACGACCTTTGATTTAAGGTTGCGCCGTGAAAAATTCAGATGTACATGTGATAATCTGGATGAGCATTTTGAGTGAACACGGCACGGACACGCAGGGTTGGTTCACTACACACTGCTGATGTGCTATTGTACCGCAAATGGCAGCGCGACACACTCTCTCCACACACATACACAATTTCCCCGCGGCGTCGTATGTGCCGGGTTTTGAGACCACGGGCTCCCCATTTTTTGTGGACTATAGAGGTAATGTGAGAAACAACAACAACAACAACAACAACAATGGTTTTGCGTGTGAACTGCGACAACTCTTGTGTACTGTACATTGTAGGGAGGGGAAACGACGTGCGAGGAAAATGGGATCGCCCACTGCTGCGGGTTCGAGGAGGGGACGGCCGAGTCCTGTATGGAAAACGCCCTGCTGGAGGCGTTCTGGTGAGAGACAGAGATGCAGACAGAGAGATGGAGACAGCAGAGAGAGTGAGAGACAGCAAGAGAGACAGAGACAGAGACAGAGCCCGGCAGAGACAGAGACAGAGAGAGTTGTCATATCATCTGTACTGTGGCACCTTGCGGGTGTGTTTGGACGCACTGGTGCAAGAAATAGGTCAAACGGGTGTGTTCTGTAGTGTCTTGCTCCACCTCCCCTGGCGTTTTGCCATATTTTTTGCTTGTTTTTTTTTGAAGGCGCTCGAGAAGATTATATATAGGCACATGCGAGGATGCGAGGCCCACGTGTATCACGGACAGGCCATATAGTACCACCACCACCACCCCCCCCCTCCCCC